GCATGCCCTGGGCCCGTGGGGGGAATGAAGGTGGCCACCGACTGGCTCATCCACTGTCTCACCATGCCCTCTCATCTGCAGGTGCCCCATCTGTGAGGCCTTTGCGCACTCTGGGTCCAATGCCTAGAATGCCCCTCCCTCTCCTTCCATGCGCCTTCCCTCGCCCCTTATCAGTCTGGTCCCTCATGACCCAGCGTAATGTCCCCTCTGCTCCTTTTCCTGACCCCACACAGAATCATGACGGCAGGCTCACATGTCTGCCTCCCTGTGTCCACACCATCACTGGGATCAGCTGGACCCATATCCACCTACCTATCCCCAGCACCCAGCACAGGGCCAGCTCAAAGTGGGTGCTCAGGGTTTGCTGAGTGAATGAGCACCTACTTTGCTCCACAAACCCGCTGCATCCCAGCCAGTCTTCTTGCCCTCGGGTTGAGTTAGGACTATCGTCTGGATGAGAGGGAATCAAGGAGGTCTCCCCACCCCACCCTCCATCGCTCAGATGAGCAGCTGGGGCTGAAGATGAAGTGGGCAGGGGCACAAGAGAGGATATTTAAGTCTCTCTGATGGCACAAGAGCAGGTAAGCCACAAATGTTTGTTGAATGAACATTTGACTGTTTGAATAAATAAATAAATGGGTGAAAAGCACCACTCCCTGGCCACTTTCGGATCCTGCCAGGGACAGAAATCTTAGGTCTCACAGCAACTGGAGGTATCAATACTCCTGGAGTGTTTTCATTTTATAGGCAGAGGCTGGGCACACTCCACATCCTGAAAGAGCCTCTTTTGGAGGTGGGGAAGCTTCCCAGGCAGCTGCGCAGACGTCTGGCTGGCGGAGGTTTTCCAGAAGGCCTGGTTGGGAGGTACTAGGGAGGGCCTTCTCATCTTCAGTTGTATTTCCAGCCAGCTCTGCCTCTTCAGCTTGTCCTAACCCACAGTGGGACTAGGGCATGTCCCTGAAGCCCATGGGCCTCAGTTTCTTCAAGTGTAAAGAAGGAGGCCATACCCCACATCTCGGCTCTTCAGGCCATCATGGGATAAGGCTTGGTGACATGGCAGCAGGAGGGCCGGGCCCGGGAGTGGGGGAGACAGGCTGAGGGGAAAGGCCAATACCCACACCACCCTCAGCCCTGACCAGGACAGAGGACTGTCTTCTTTCATGCCTAACAAACCCCTAGCTCCTTGGCCACTGCAGAGGTGAGAGGAGAGGGAAGGGCCCCCATCCTAAGCCATGCACCAGGGTCCTTGCTGGCGGCAGGCGCCGCTCCCCGGCCTCACAGAAGACAGATCACTCCCTTAATCACTCTGGAAAAGAACCCCAAGCCGATATAATATTATAATTAATTAATTCACTAAAAAGGTATTAAATTTCTCTCCCCCCTGTGGATATTATCTGAATTCATTGACCTTTAGAAAAATCACCCTCTAATTGTAACCAGGTCCAAAAGCATTTGCAGCCCGTCCCTTTTACATTAATAATATCTTCCCGGACTCAGCTCTGGCTGCTTAAATATTGTATAAATTCCACTACCCCCCTTGGAAAGAAGAGAGCAAAGAAAAAAGATGAGGCTGGAGGAGTCTGAGAGGGGGATGGGGTCTGGACCCTGAGAAATGGGAGTCCCAGGAGGTGAGGGGTGGGAGATGAGGAGCAGGAGGTGCACCCAGGTGCCTGGGAAGGGGCTCTCTAGCGGCTCCAGCTGAGCCAGGCAGCTTGAAGGACAGGGAAGGGGCATGGGTTTTGAGATAGAGCACCGGGCATGGGTTGGGAGCAAGAGTGTTGAACCTGAGGTTAGTTTTAGGAGGCTATGTGTATGTGTCTGGGGAGAAGGTGCGTAGTGTGTATCAGACTCTCATCTAAGTTAATTGCATCAAATAGTAAAGAAAGAATCTTTGCTTTAGAGGAACCATAGGGGATGGAAATGTGAGATCCCAAGCAGCACATTCTGAGGCCCTGTGACCCCCTCCCAGGCCACCATTCCAACTCCGGCCTCCTAAGCCCTGTTCTATGGATGGTGGAGCTGGCCGCCCAGCAGATGCAGCTGGACATGCAGAACTTCCTAAGGCTGAGGAAGTAGGTACTAAGGCAGAGCGAGCAGCTGGTGGGGACAGACAGACAGATATAGGAACTGGAGCTGAGGGCAGCAGGGTCAGGGGCTGGGGCGCTGTCTGCATCCTCCACCCTCACCACCTCTGCTCCCCCAGCACCCTGGCTCCTGCTGAGGGCCCCACAAAGAATCCAAGGGAGCTACAGCTGCTCATCCTCCCCTGCCTAGCTTTGACCTCTTTCTCTGCTTCCTCTCCCACTGTACGTGTCTGTCTGTTCTCTAAGCCTCCCTAAAATGAAGGGGCTGGACAGGCCTATCCCTCCTGTGTCCACACCAGCCAAAGTCCTTATTCTGCCTTTTTATTTTTTAGAAACAGCCTGCTGTAGTGCCCAGGCTGGAGTGCAATAGCATGATCATAGCTTACTGCAGCCTCAAACTTCTGGGCTCAAGCAATCCTCCCATTTCAGCCTCCTGAGTAGCTAGGGCCATATATGTGCACCACCATGCCTGGCTAATAAAAAAAAAAAAAAAAAAAAAATAGAGTTAAGGGTTTGGCTATGTTGCCTGGGCTAGGTTTTGAACTCCTGGCCTCAAGCAATCCTCCTGCCTCAGCCTCCTGAGTAGCCAGCATTACAAGTGCAAGCTACCACACCTGTCCCTACTCTGCCTTTTAAAAAAGAATTTCCAGTCTGGTCACAGTGGCTTACACCTGTAATCCCAGCACTTTGGGAGGCCAAAGTGGGTAGATCACCTGAGGTCAGGAATTCAAGACCAGCCTGACCAACATGGTGAAACCCCATCTCTACTAAAAATACCAAAAAAAATTAGCCAGGTATGGTGGTGGGTGCCTGTAACCCCAGCTACTTGGGAGGTTGAGGTAGGAGAATCACTTGAACCTGGGAGGCGGAGGCTGCAGTGAATGGAGATCGTGCCATTGCACTCCAGCCTGGGCAACAAGATCAAAACTCTGTCTCAAAAAAAAAAATCCCCCATAGACCTGACACCTGGAAAGATGTCCACCAAATAAATCTTGCTAAAGGATGCATTCCCCTATTATCAAATCAGAGTGGTTCTCAAATCAGAGTCGTTCATAATCACTAGCCAGACTCCAACCCAGCCACAAGGTGAGGGTCCTTCAGGCTGGTCTCAGAAACAAGAACACTTTCTAGTGGTTCATTGAAATGCTGGAAGTAGTCCCTGGGCCGGCCTCAGCCAAATCGGTAGGACTGCAGGACTCCCAGACAGGGTGGAAGCCACCCAGGCAGACAGCTTGGAATGTACAATGAAGCTGAGACGACTCCACGCCCACCAGCCAGGGCAGGCAGCTGACTAGTCCTGGCTCAGGGCACCCTCTTGTGGACAGAACCCCACTCACACCCTCTGTCCTGTCGAATGTGCTGTCCAATCCCAATCCCTGAAGGAGCCCAGGGGCAGGAACCTAGCAGGCAGGTGGAGGGCGGGGACATCAGCGATCTTTAGGACATCAGTAATCTTTTTTTTTTCCTTTTAAAAAATGTTTTAAATTTTTATTTCTTTTTAGCTGACCTCTGCGGGCAGGAAGGGCTGTCGGTGATCTTGAAGGGCCGTGTGAGGAAGCAGGTGGGCAGCCCTCCACTCCACTGAGTGAATCCCCAGGGGGAAGTGGAAGAGCCAGTGGGATGGCGGAGATTTTTCAGGGGGCCGAAGGATCGGCCTTGGGACTTCCCGGAGCCTCCACCGCCCCCGGCCAAGGCAGCCTATCCCAGATCATCAGGTGTCTCCCAGAGTATAGGGCTGGCCCCAGGCGGGGCTCAGAGGGGTTTCCAGGGCATGGGTAAGTCCCAGGTGGTGGAGTGGAACCTGGAACTAGGAGGAGGCGCCAGCGCCACGGGGGGCTCAGGCTCCACAAGGTCATCCCCGGCTCCATCTGACCTTGAGATTAATCCGGCAGCCCGACCGCCATCAGCGCCCAGCCGCCCGGCCCCCTTTCCTTCTCTCCCCTCGCACGTTAATTGCTCAACGTTGATTTGATCGCTCCTTTTGCACAGAGGAAATTGCCCTCTTAGCCATTTTCATCCTGGGATTTTTTTTTTTTTTTTAATTAGGCCCCTTCAGCCTCTCAGGGCGATGACGGGGAGCCATTTTGGTCTCCGCCTGAAGCGACCGTGGAGAGCGGAGGGGAACTGGAAGACGCCCCGAGAAGCCCTCCCCTTTCCCGCGGGGCACGGGGGCTCCAGCAGCCGCCTCTCCACCCAGGCCATGTCCCCCTCCTGGGCGAGGTCATAAACTCCAGCATCTCTGAGCAGAGGCCCCAGGGCTGCAGCACCGAGGAAGGGCCTCGCCCAGGCCTCGCTGCCAGAGCCAGAGCGGGGCGGGGGGTAACCCGGGCCCGTGATCCCCACGCAGCGTCCTGGGCTCCCGTCTCCTCCCTGTCTAGCTCAGCGGAGTCCCCTTCTCCAAATATCTAGCCGGACGTAGCCCCTCAGTTACCAGGGAGCCCGTCCGGCCAGGCAGAGGGCGAGCGCCCAGCTAGAGCTTCTCAACCCGAGTGGCCGCCCACCTGAGGATGTCACCCCCAGAACAGGAGTGGAACAGGAGAAGCATGCCCCCTACTCCGGGCCCAGGGTGCCCCAAATAAGCAGCTAAGGGCGGTGGACTCGATTTGTGAGCAACCCGCCCCCTACTGCAACTCCTGGTCTCGCTCCGGCCGCAGCGGGAGTCGCGGGATCGGCGTGGCCCCAGCGCCACCTCGTGGCCGTGAGGAGGGACCGTGCCCCCATCAGCACCCAAACCCCTCGGCTTCCCCTGGCAGGGCTGAGGCTTGAGGACAGCAGGCGACAAGCGAGTTGCCTCTTCCCTGTACCCCCCACCCCGACCCCCTTCAGGCAGCATCCGCACTCTGGAAGGGGACCACTGGGTTGAATCCTCCCGTTCGCTGTCAGCCCTAGACCCACTCCAGAGACAGGACCACCGGGTACAAAGCACAGTGTTTACTAAAGGCACAAAGTGGGGGATCGGAAGGCAGCTGCTCTTCTGGCAGTGATTCCTCCCGCTTCCGGCAGCCCCCGCGCTCGAACCACCTGGTGGAGAGCTGTTAGCACCAAAGTGGGGGTGCCCACCTGTGGGAGGGCCTGAGGACCAGGCTGTGGGGCGGGCTGGCTGCCATCTGAGTCACAGAAAGGCAGGCCTGGGCACCCCCAGGAGCAGTGGCCTCAGACAAGGAGCTTCCCAAAGACCCCCAGCATGTCCTACACTGGTAATGAGGGGGTCAGTCTCAGAAGACAGGGCGTCTCCACCAGGCCCTCTTCTCACCTCTAGAACACCCTGCCTCCTCCCTGCCTCCCGATTCCATCTCTGGGAGAGGAGCTGAAGGCCTCTTCCCACCCTGCCAGTCAAGAGGGCTGCCCGGGGATGCTTCTGACCCCAAAGGCTGCCAGACAGGCACTAAGTCCAAACGGGGGCCAACGGGGAGGGAGGCAGGGCAGGTGGCTACTTCACACACAAGTGCAGCCTGAAGGGTGGGAGGGAGGTGCCCCGGGCCCTCCCAGCCCGCAGGCCAGCCCCTGTTCCCTAGCACAGGGGCAGCCAGGGTCACAGCACATCGCCCTCCTCCATGCTGAAGCTGCTCCGGCGGCTGCTGGCCTTGGAGGCCTCAGGGGACATGGTGGACAGGAGTGGATCAGAGGCCAGCGGTAGCAGTGAGTCGTCCAGGAGCATGAGGTCCAGATCCTTCTTGGACAGGCCGGGGAATGGGGAGCCATGCTCCGGCGCCAGGGATTCGGGGTATCCTGGGGGACCCTCATCCTCCCTGCCCCCAAAGCTCAGGCTGTGGCTGAAGTCCAGGTGATGGAATGGGGACGGTGGCTGGGTGGGCAGGGGCAGTGGGGCTTGTGGGGGCAGAGCTGGCAGCGGCTCAGGGTCAGGGACCTCAGCCCCCAGCATCAGGGCCTCCCCTGGGCCCTCTTCACTAGGCAGCTCCTGCTTCACCACCTGCTGGGCCAGCTCCGCCATGTTCATGCCAGATGGAGAAGTGGTAGGGAGGCCGTGTACTCGAGCCTGCATCTCCAGCTCCTGCAGGGGAGGAGACAGAAGGCTGGGGAACACACCCATGGGCACCAGCCGCCAGGCCCCCCTCCCCTGGGCCTCCGTCATAGCACTTGCCCCTGCCCAACGGCACAGAGCAAGGTGTTTCCGTTGGAAGAAAGCAGATGGTAGTTCCAGAGCCTAGACCAGTGTTGCTTCAGACTACGAGTCATAATTCATTAGTGGGTTGTGAAACCACTGTAGTGAGTCTTGACCAGCTTTCCATTTTTTTAATTGAAATTGCGTTGTCTAGACTAGACCAGAAATTATTAGAATGCATTGCATCTACTAAGGGTGAGCAGAGCATTCCTTCATGAAACTCGAGTTTCCACTTTGAGTGTGCCTGTGTGTGTTTGATTTTAATGTAAATTGTATCATCTACCATAAGAAAGAGAAACAAGGTGCAGTCCAATCGCCCTCTGCAATAGGCCAGCCTCTGGTCTAAGGAGGACAAGAGACCCTCCGCACAGAGCCAGGACTAGAACTCTCAGTTCCAGCTGCTAGGGCGGATTCTGCCAAGCCCTTGTTCCTCAGGTTGACCCTGGGAGATTCCTAGTGCCACCCAGCAATTGATTCCAGCTCACTACCTCCCAGGCACATGATACGTTTGCATTTTCCTGCCTCTTGCGGTTAGAGTGCTTGTAGACTTTGCTTGCACTGGCCAAGCCCATTGAACAGAAGTGACATGGGGCACCTTAAGAGTGACAGTGGCTTTAAGAGCCAGCTTTATATGTGCCACCAGAGAGCTGGGTCCCAGCAGCCTGAGTCCCAGAATGAGGGCCTCACAGAACAGAACCTCCAGCTGATGTCTGTTGCTCAAAGATGCTAAGGATTGTTTGTTACCAAAGCAAAACATCCTGACACATCCTCCTTCCTAATGGGCATCTTCCTGTGTCTCCTACTTCAGAAGTATAAGCACTACCCCCTGGGGCCAGGAGCCAGGTTAAGGGTCAGAGTTACCAAAGAAGTCTAAGTTCAGGACCAGACCTGGATACGGAGCCAGAGCTGCTTGTTGGTCATCTCCAGGCGGCGAGAGTGGTTCTCCAGCTCCCTGGACTTCTGCAGGTCCTTCTGCATCCTCCGTATGTAATCCACAGAAGCCTTGAGGATGGTGCCTTTGTTCCAGCGCACATCCCTGCAGCAGCAGACCAGGCAAATCAGAGGAACATGCTCAGAAGTGTGGCCAAATCCTTGCCATTGCTCTGGTTGCAGAGCTTATGTGGCCTGTCCCAGTCTTACCCAGCAACCCCAGATCTGCAGGTGGAGGTAGCTGATCTCTTTGCAGAGAATAGGCCCTCCTGGGTGACTTCTGTTGCCACTGCCCACGTCACTAATCTCATGAAACCAGGCAATTCGGAGCAGCCTCCCTGCCAAGACTACCAAGACCCCAGCCCAGCCTACCCTGGACTATCAATCCTCCTGCCCCTCAAACACCATTTTTTTGTTTTTTTGTTTTGAGATGGAGTCTGTTGCCAAGGCTGGAGCGCAGTGCAGTGGCATGATCTCGGCTCATTGCAACCTCCACCTCCTGGGTTCAAGCAATTCTCTTGTCTAGGCCTCCTGAGTAACTGGGACTACAGGCACACAACACTGTGCCCAGCTAATTTGTGTATTTTTAGTAGAGAGGGGTTTTTGCCATGTTGGCCAGGCTGGTCTTGAACTCCTGACCTCAAGTGATCTGCCTGCCTCAGCCTCCCAAAGTGCTGGGATTACAGGCATAAGCCACCATGCCCGGCCTCTTTTCTACCAGCCCAATGCTCTTAAGAAAATTTTTTCTCAAATAAGAAATTTGGTACCCAGGAAAAAAAAAAAAAAAGAAAGAAAGAAAAGAAAAGAAAAGCAAACTTTTTCAGCATGGCTCCACCTCCAGGGAGCCTCCCTTGACTTCAGCCTCACTTCCAGGACAGAAACTCATCTGTCTTGAGCTTTCCCAATTTGGGAGAGGAAGAGATCTTTTCTCAAATAGATGAGGTTCTAGAAGGAATTTTCCCATCCTAGCAACTAGCATGAGGCTGAGGGCAGATCATACTTGTCAGCTGCTGCCCTCTGCAGACCATCACCCTCCCCCCTCAGAAACCTGCTCACAGGTCATTGGCCTTGGGGATCAGCATTCCCAATTCCTTGATGCGGTCGTTGATGTTGAACCTTCGTCTCCTTTCAACTAAAGGTAAGAGATTCCAGAAGGAGCAATTAGAGGGCTAGGGACCCTGCCACGGGGAAGCAGCCAGCCCAGGGAGAGGTGCTTCAAGGGCACCCTGTTGCTTAGATTGAGTCCTTCCAGGAAGTAATAGGTGACAAACAGACTGGGATTTCTACAGGGCTTGGGGAGTCCAGGGCAAAGGCCAGACACAATTAAGGGGGCCGAAAGGTAGAATCCGGCCCTGGTGACGCGGGCAGCACAGCAGAGCTGCCTGGGGTAGGACTCTTCCCGCTACACAGAACTCCGCCGTCCCAGGTTCCATGCCTTGACCCAGAAAACAACCTGAAAAACTGGGGGTTTCATGAATGTCCCTCAAGGAACCCTTCCCACCCCGTCCTAAAGAGGTCTAGTGGAAAGACAGCACTAACAGACCCACCCGCCATTGAGTGACAGCAACGGGAGGGCCGAAGCCACCCGAAAGTGAATTGGCCTCGAGCAGGGAGGCCTTCCACCTGTGCAGGGCAGGGAGCGGCTTTTTAGCCAGCCCAGGTGAGAACAAGGAAGAAGGAGGCAGGGAGAGGGGGCGGGGCGGGACTCACTTAAGTTGTGATTGTCTTTCTTCTGCCGCTCCTTGGCCAGGGCCCTGCTCTCAGCATCTGGAGGCCAAAGGAGAAGGAGAGAGGAGCTGGGAGGGAGGGAGAAAAGGAGGGAGGACTCGGGTATTCAAGGGCACAGGGACAGAGGGAGGCAGTACCTGTGAGCTCTCGCTTCTGGGTCAGGTCTGCAGGGCAGGAGCTGCTGGTGACGCCCACCAGGGAGGCTGTGACCTGGGGGTCGCTGCTGTACACATTCAGGTGGCTGCTGGACAGGGGTAGCTGTGGAGGGTGAGGGAGCCCCATGAGCATGCCCCTTTCCATGGGGAGCCCGCTCCAGGGCCTATCATCCCAGGAACAGTCCGTCCCAGGGACGCCAGGAGTGTCAAAATTCACCTCAGTCCTCTTTACCCAGCAATTCAACCTGAAGGTCTGCAGAGTCCAGAGCTGAGTAAGATGCAGTCCCTACCCTCAGGGAGCCCCTGGCCTAGAGTGGCTGAGAGGAGTGATCCAACCAATAATATGTGATAGAATTAGGCCCCAGGCATTATGGAAGCCCTAGAGCAGGGAATCTAATCAATTCTAGAGTTTCTGGAGGTCTACTGGAGGGCATGGAATGCAACAGAGTCTTGAGCAGGGATGTGAGAAAAGGCACTCCAGGCAGCCAGCAGGGCACCAGCAGACAGGGCTGCTGGGCAGAGTACAATTCCAGCAGCTCGAGGGGCAGAAGTGGTGGGGGTGGGGGTGCTGGAGGCAGGGCAGATGCATCTGGATCCCCAGTACCGTGTTCGACTTGCAGAGATACTGGAGTTTGGGAATGGGCAGCCAGGGGAGGTGTAAGCAGGAGTCACACAGGGAAAGGTCTGAGCTCTGGAAAGATCTCCTGCCACAGAAACATGCAGAACAAATCACAGGCCCAGATGCCCCACAGTGTACACAGGACCAGTCACTTGCACCCTCCCTCCCTGCTCCTGCTAGCTGTAGGTTTGGACCCAACCAGTCCTGGCCAGCTCCTGCTAAGCCACTCAGCAATGTCACCAGGGCAGTGGCGACTAAGGAGTGACTCCTTGACTCCCCACCACAGGAACTGGGACTTTCCCTTGGTAGCATGAGTTGGGACCCATGGTAAAGGTAAAGGGTAAAGGCTCATGCCCAAAGACAGGGGTGAGCAGCTGAGGCTCAGGACCTCCAAAGAAAAGTGGGCAGGAGGGGCACTGGCAATCACACCTGCTCAGCACACACACCTGTCACGTTTGCACAGAGCTTGCTCTCAATTTCTTGCCTCATCTAATCTTTCCACAATCCTGTAGGTAGACAGCATCACCCCATTTTGCAGCTGAGAAAACTGGGGCTTAGTATGCTTGAATGATTTCCTAAGGTCGCATCAAAAGCCAGAAGCCAGGTCTCTTGACTCCAAGCCCAGCTCCTCCCCATCTGCCACCCCACCTCTGCCGGGAGACGCAGGAACCTGCCAGAGGGAGGATTCCTGTGGTTGGGGACAAGGCCAGCCCCAGATCACTTGCTCCATGGAGTGAGGGACACAGGTTTTTACCTATTGGGCCATGGGCTTGGTAAAGGAGAGGAGGCCAGGTCCCGAAAGGAGCTCATTAGTTCCACCCCTTCCTGTAGACACACTGCCCCTCCACACATGCAGTCCGCTCCCTGCCTTCCCCTGCCCCTCCCCCAACCTGGAAAGCCCCCTCCTCTGCCCGCCCATGTCCCCAGCCCCTTCTCCCCTCTGAAGCCCCCTGGTGCACACAGGCTGAGGCACATCCTTCATGCTTCATAATTCCTCTTGGTCCCTGCACATTACTTAGTAAAAATGACTCTTTTTTTCTTTCTTTTTTTTTTTTTTTTTTTTTTTTTTGAGGCAGAGTTTCGCTCTTGTTGCCCAGGCTGGAGTGCAATGGCTGGACCGAAACCTCCGCCTTCCAGGCTCAAGCAGTCCTGCCTCAGCCGCCCAGGTAGCTGGGATTATAGGCACGTGCCACTGCGCCCGGCTAATTTTGTATTTTTAGTAGAGACAGGGTTTCTCCATGTTGGTCAGGCTGGTCTTGAACTCCTGACCTCAGGGGGTGCACCCGCCTTGGCCTCCCAAAGTGCTGGGATTACAGGCATGAGCCATCATGCCTGGCCAATGACTCTTATCGCTACAGAAAGATGCCAGCTCTGCCCAGTGATAACCCTGTCTCCAGCTCTCTCCAGGCTCAGAGCCACTGTGGGTGCCCCCCACCCTGACACCCTTGCACACCCACCCCACCCTAGCCAGTAGTACCGTGTTGGGCATCTGCATTTCAGGATTGATGTAGCCCAGGACATCATCCAGACGCATAATGTTGTCAATGACATCATCAAACTGGAAAAGAGAAAAGTACATCTGGGGAGGGCCCACCCAGAGGTGGGCAGGCGAAAGAGGCACTGGGACGCCCACTAACCTGGAGGGACCTTGGAGTGGAGCCCACTTCACCCAACCTACTTATCTGGGGAAAGAGGAAATAGGCCAGAGAAGAGATGAGCTGTCCAGGTCCCACTGGCCCAATGCCAAGCCAGGGTTCTTGCCAAGGAGCCTACCTGCCCAGGGAGCTTCCTTGCTCTCACTTCTGTCTCTTGCTTGGGGAGTGTGCTGGGCTTTCCCATATAAGTCTTCTGTTTCTCCCTAGCAGAGCTTTCTTTCTTTTTTCTTTTTTCTTTTTTTTTTTTTTTTTTTTTTTTTTTTTTTTTTTTTTTGAGGAGTCAGTCTGTCGCCCAGGCTGGAGTGCAGTGGCACGATCTTGGCTCACTGCAACCTCCGCCTTTCTGATTCAAGCGATTTTCCCGCCTCAGCCTCCCAAGTAGCTGGGATTATAGCGTGTACCACCATGCCCAGCTTTTTGTATTTTTCATAGAGACAGCATTTCACTGTGTTGGCCAGGCTGTTCTCGAACTCCTAACCTCAAGTGATCTGCCCACCTCGGCCTCCCAAAGTTCTGGGGTTACAGGTGTGAGCCACCGCACCCAGCCTCCTAGCAGAGCTTTAGAAAGTAAGAATGGTGTTTCCCCTGTGAGGCTCCCTGAGGGCAGGGCTGTGTCTTCCCCCCTGAGATTGGAGCTCCCTGATGAGGGCTCTGTCTCCCCCTCAGACTGAGGCTCCCTGAAGGTGGCGACGCTGCCTCTGCCATCAGACTAGGAGTCTCGGAAGCACAGCAGTAGGCGCCAGCTCTGCAAGCAGCACGGCCACTGGCCAGCTCCTCACTCACCTCCCTCTCGGGGTTGGAGCCGATGTGCAGCATGGCCATGGGGCTGTTGGGAGCACTGTTGCCAGCAGAGGAGGGCAGCACATGTCCAGCTCGCACCCCTGGGGAGGCAGCTGGTGGGGGCTTCGGAGAGCCCTGGGCTGGGCTGATGTGGGCGGCAAACTTGTTCCCATAGGTCTCGGACAGGTACTCCCGCACTTTCTGATGCTGCGACTGCTGCAGATGGTAGGATGTGGGATTCTCCAGGTAGGACTGCACCTGGAAGGAGAAAAGGCAAGGGCTCTAGGGGAAGCTGGGACCAGTGGGGACGAGGCAGGGGGCAGGCCAGGAAAGGCCCTACCTTCAACACCTCCCCGGGCACAGGTGGTGGCGACTGGAAGTGGACAGGGGTGTTGATGGCTGGGGTGGGCGGCCCCCCGAGCTGCTGCTGCTGCTGCTGCTGCTGCATGTAATGCATGACTGCCTGCTGCTGCATGCGCTCCCGCTGCTCCTCCTGCTGCGCCTGCTCCCGCATGAGCTGCATGCGCAGCCCTATGCGTGACGCCATGGTGGCTGCCGGCACCGGCTCCCTGTGGACAAGAAGGGGCGGTAGGTATGTGAGGCACTTGTCCCCCTCAAAGCACGTGGGCTGGCCCCGGGGTAGGCCAGAATGACTGGGATGGCATCCATTTTACAGGAGAAGACACCAAGCCCTGAGAGGGGAAGAGATTTACCCAAGGTCGCTGAGCAAGCGGGTGACAGCTGAGACATGAATCCAAGTTTCCTGGTTCCTGGACCAAAACTGAAGGTTCTGTCTTCTTCACTGATCACAGTTGGTAAATCCCAAACTCTAAGAGTCAACCTCCGCTCCTCTCTGTGTCACGCCCACATCCTGATCCTGTCAGATCTGACCTCGGATCCATCCTCCTCTGCTGCCACAAGGTGGGCCCGGCCTGTTCCGGGTCTTACCTGGCTTCCCACAGGGGCAGCCCAGTGTTCAGACTGCCACCTCTGGCTTGTCCTAGGACATTCTACTGGCAACTCAGTAAGTAGATGGATCCTGTTAAATCCTAAGTCAGATCCTGTCCTTCCCTCTGCTCACAACTCCCCATGGCTCCTACCTTCCTCAGAGGAAGAGCTACGGTCCTTTCCATGACCAGAGCCTCCCGGGATCTGCTCCAGCTCATGTTTCCCTCTGATCCCATCCGCCGGCTCTCCTTCGTTTCCTCTGCTCCAGCTACATCCACCAGCCACTTTGCAATCCCTGAAACATCCCAGGCATGCCCCCACCTCAGGGCCTCTGCCCTTGCTGTTCCCTCTGCCTGAATACTCTCCCCTCAGATGACATCATGGCTCACTCCTTCACCTCCTCCAAGACTCAAATGTCACCTTCGAGACCTTCTAGGACAACCCTATTAAAATTACAAAGCCCCCACCCCCACTCCCTATGCCTCTTCCCTTTTATTTTTATCCATATCACTTATCACCATCTTAAATACTGTGCATTTTTGCTTAGCTGTTTCAGTCACTGTCTGTCTCTTTCTTACTGGGAATGTACACCTCCCTGAGGGCAGGCATTTTCTGTCTTTTTCACTGCTATACCTTGGGCCTCTGGCCCAGGACCTGGAACACGGCAAATGCTGAATGCGTGTGAGAAGAAATGAATCTTATTTGTAAGCCAGGCACTGGGGATACAACTGTGGTCCCTGAGCTCATGGAGCCTACAGTGGAATAAAGAGCAAGGCAAGTCCACAGGCTTGAGGAGGGCCTGTGCAGGGAGGGCCACTTCCAGGCACCTGGCACTGCCAGGGCCCAGAGAGGATTTCCCACCACCGAGCACATCAGCCCTAATCATCTGCAGGTCTCAGTGAGACAGGTGTGACTTAAGCCCCCAAGCCCAGTCTAGAAGGAAGGACAGGGAAGAACGAGTCCTATAGCTGGGCCCACTCTGTCCCTAGCTCATTGGGTGACCCAGGGTAAGCCCCTTCCCCTTCAGAGCCTCCATCTCTCCATGCACAAAATGAAAGAGTTGGATCCAGTGATTTCTAAGGTCCTCCCCAGCTGGGATACGCTGAGACTCTGAGAGATGCAGGGCTCCTGGGTGTGTCCAGACCCCATGAAGGTCCTAGTAGGGGCTGGAGGGTCCCATCTTGGGGATATTGCAAGAGGCAGTATGACTTTGTGGTTGAGCAAGGACTTTTGAACTGAGCAGATATGGGCTTGAACCCTAGTTCTGCCACTTCTTTGCTATGTGACCTTGGGCAAGTCACATAACCTCTCTGAGCCTCATTAGTAAACAGTTTCTGCTTCAGAAAACAGGCATTACATGAAATTAATATGTCTTACACAGTGTGTACCAGCTGGGAGGCTGAGCGTATGAGACATGGATGAGCACATGACTGGCAGGCAAACTGATCAGTGTGGACCAGAGGCCAGAGCTCCTAACAATGAGGCGCAGACACCGGGGGTGGCAAGGGGAAGCAGCAAAGGCTGACGTGTTCTGGCTAATGCCAGTCACTGGAAATTAGTCGGCATTAGCCAAAAGAACTGGCAAATATTCCATGAAAATCACCAGATCATAGAAATAATAATAACTTGCATTTATTTGAGCATTTACTGTATGTCAGGCAATGTTCCAAACTCTTTCACCTCGAACAGCCCGATGAAGGAGTTCTAAGAATTACTCTCCTTTTATGGATATGGAGAAACAGAGGCACAGGAGATTAAGTGTCTTTCAGTAGCGAAAGGAACAGAGCTGGAAGCCAGCCCCAGGCAGTGTGACCTCCTAGCCCATGCTGGGGGGAGAGGGTCTCCACACAGAGTGGGCAGGAAGCTTATTGCAGGCTGCCTGACTGCCAGGCCCAGGAATGGAGCCCGTGCCACCTGAGTGCCAGCCAGGGCTCCTCCCACCACCACTGTGCCTTCCCGACAAGGTGGGAAGGCAAGCAATGACCCTCACCCCACCCTCCTTCCTTCTCTGCCCCTCTGCACCATGAATCAGTAAAGGGGTTGCCTCAGCCCCTTGGGTCTCTCTGCCCAGCTCCCAGCAGGGCAGTCCCCAGAGAGAAAGGAGCAGATGCCCACCACCCTCTTCCCATCCTGTAGCAGGAACACAGCTGCAGCCTCCACCCAGGCCTTCACCCACCCTATGCTGCTACAGAGGGGTATCCCTGTCTTTGTGCCCCCACTGCCCACCACGCACACACTAGCCCTACAGACCTCATAGGCTCTGACCCCAGCCCAGCCCACCCCCTCGCAGCTGTACCCCCTATACACCCACCCACAGAGCACTGGGTCACCCCCCCCACCCTTGGGGACAATCTGACTTCAGTTGGCCCTAGTGGGGGTGCAGACACCGGGCCTGGCAGTGCCAGCCGGCACAGGGAAGCTGGGGGAGAAAAAGCCCCTTGTTTCTCGGACAAAGGGCTGAGCGTCTGGCCTGGCCTCGGCTGGAGCTGGCTTTGCTATGAGGAGAGCCCGGGCTAGGCCCTGCCTCTTGCTGGCTGGGCCAGCCTCAGTTCCCTCATCTGCACAATGGACTTGGGAATCCCTGCCCCACCACCCGCTGCCAGAATCCAGGTGAGCCTCCTGGGAGAGGACGTTGGAGAAGCGGACACAGCGAGGTACCTGTGCCATCGGTGGGTGTCGGTAGCCTTAGCTACTGTCCCCTGTCCTCTGACAGAGGATGGCAGGCCAGTGAGGCTCCCCATCCCCACGGTTGGAGCTGTCACACCCACAGAGCTTGTCCTCCAGCGAAGCCCCAGCCCTCTACCCTGGCCCTGGTTCCCAGCCCTGGGTTGTTGAGTGTGGTATGGGTGGGATGGGCATGGGTAAGGGAGGCCCCTGAGGCGATCAGAGAATGATGGGGGTGGTCCAGGGCATGCTGATCCCCCACCCTCAGCCTCTGAGCACACCTACTCACTCTCAAACCCTGAGGGGCCACTCACAGCCTCCCCGGACAACCAGTCCAGCCAGGAAGAACTAACAGGATGGATGTGGGAGAATCAAAATGCCCCCGGCCCCTCCCACCATCTGGCTCCTCAGACCCAGCATGCCTGGAAAGGGTCCACCGTGTGCTCCTTCAGTAACACTGGGGGCCTGGAGTGAGTGCCCACTCCATGTAGACACCAGGGATGGGTATTGCTCTGGAGATCTTCTCTCCTGCCCCTCCCAGGTATAACACTCTCCTCATGAGAAGAAGGGTTTGATGCCCTAGAAAATCCCTGCCTCTCCCCCATCACATGGCTGCCCCCATCAACACCCCCAGGACCCTCCAGCTGCCTCCCCGTGCCGCCCACCCAGAGCCTCTCAGCTGACTCTGCCTCAAAGCTCAGTCTGGGTTCCAGCTTAGTCATGTCCAAAACGAGTTCTGCAGTCCCATAGGCTCCCTGCCCCTACTGGCTAGGTGACTTCAGAAAGCCACTTCACCTCTCTGTGCTTTGCTGTCTTCCTCTGTAAAACATGGCACCTGCTAAGCACAGCACCTGCCTTCTGGGGCCATTGGGAGGATCCAAAGTAAGTATGTGGCAGTTGCTTCATAACTGGGGATCCTGGTCTCCTCTGCTCAGGCCAGAGCTGGTTTCATCCAGCTCTGTCAGTCATTTACACCTTAGTATGAACCAGTCTTGTCAGAACCATACTTGAGGGAAGATGTGGACACAGGGAAGAGAAACACAGGGAGAAATCACTGGTCTTCATGAGAGAGGCAATGAGAAGGAGGAGCCCAGAACAGGGAAGTCTCAGATGTAGGAAAGAAGATATCACAGATACAGTATTGAGTGGAAAAGGGAAAGTGCAGAATAAATGCACAGCTTGAGCCCATGAAGCAGGAAATGGCCTATGTGTGGAAATGATCAGGAGGACCATTGCACCCGCTGCTAGATGCTTTGTGAATGATTGCGTGGGTCAGGGCTGGCCACTGTGCTTTTCAAATGTTCATTCTTTTGCCTTCTTCAAACAGCCCAATGAGCTGAGTACTAGTATTGTCCCCATTTTTCCTGGAGGAAACTGAGGCACAGACAGGTGAAGGAACTCACTCAAGGTTACACAGCTGATTAAGTCATAGAATGGAGATTTGATCCAGGCAGGCTGGCTCACAGCCCTTACTCTTTAACTACTATTCTGGGCTCCCCTAGGACCCCAAACTGTTGAGAGTTGTTACCACTGGGGAGGGTAGTGGGAAGGGGTGGTGGAGGGAGAGAGATAAAGACGGGTTTTTATAGTTCCTCGTTCCACTTGAGAAGCACTCAGCTCTCACAGTGGGAATATGTGCTACCTGTGTGGTTCTGTGAACACAGGAGAAAGGAAGCACAGCAGCTTCTCGGGGGTTTATGGGGGGCCTGGCCTGCTTCCAGTCACGTCCAAAGGTGGGTCGCCAAGGGGAAGGGATCCCCCCAGCTCCACCCAAGCCCTGCCCTGCTCAGTGCAATGGTCATTAGGCCAGCAGAGACACAGAGCCAGGGTCAGCAGCCACATAGCATTTGGAGCTGGAGGGCCAGGGCCCCACTCAGTTTCCACCACAGCCCCAGTCAAGGGCTTCTGGGGGGGAGTACCATCTTCACACAGCACCCTCAAACTACTCTCAGCTGAC